CATCTAATGGGGAACAACTGTTTTACAGCATTCTCAAAATAAACCAGGACTTCTGGCTCCTGTTTCCATTGTCCCAAGTAATACAAAGTGAGGCCCATTGCAGGGAGGAAATGAGATTTCCATTTTGATCTTCCACAGTGGATACTCTAGGTTGGTTGATTGGTTTGGTTTGGTTGGTTTTGGGCACTACTACTTGGAGTTTAGAAGGTTCTGATCCAAAATTTCTCTCTCATCTTCCCAAGACTTGGGACTGTGTTCATGTGTTAAGATCAATTTTAAAGGGGCCTTTAACAAGGTTAGCTTTTTGTTTGTTTGCTGGCTTCTCTTGTATTCTTAATTTATGAAGGAACCATTTGTTGAACAGGATGGGTAAAAAAATATTTTTCTTATCTGGCTTCGGGGTACTTTTCCCAGTTCTTTGAAGGACTGGATATCAAGTCATTACTGGCAAATTAAAAATACATCCAGACATGTCAGCAGGAGAAGAAAGAGGGAGGCCTGAAATGCCCTATCTGCTACTGCTTATCTTCTACTCTATGTACTCATGACATCTGTGGTGATAGTGCATGAGCAAGGGCAGTATCAGGGAGTTAGGTCCCTCATGGCACATGCCTTAAAGTGTACACATCTGAAGCTATGAAGCTCTCAGGGTGGTCATTGCTACCTTACCAGCTTTGACTCCTGGGGCCCATGGTAAGGCAACAGGCCTATGAATTATCTGGAACTGTATGCAAAACTAGCATTCGTACCGGAATTCTTATGGAGAAGGGAGCCATAATTTTCTTTACATTTTTAAAGGATCCTGTTTTCAAACAGGTTTAAAGGGCATTCTCTGAGGTGAGAAATGAGAGAAAAATCTCTCTGGGTCCTGTCAACATTCCACTCAAATATTCACGATGAACTCACTTTACCTAATTTATTTGCTTCATATCATGTGCCTATGTTTCATCAGATTAAAGTGGAAAGTTTAGGTCCCTCATGGAGCTTCATAGCCTCACATGTGTACACTTTAAGGCATGTGCTATGAGGGACGTAAATGTTTTGGGGGAATTTAAGCATTAAACAATCTATACAAATTGATTTTAAGTATGTGTACAAGTGATAAC